TCCTTGCCACCCCTCGCATCTTGGACATAAATTGTTTCAACTCCTACCCTCAAAACGACACTATAGAGCACTGCACACCAAGACAACTAGACACAAGAACAGTTTTTTCCCGAACGCCATCACTCTGCTAAACATATAATTCCCTCACTATTGTCAAACTATTCGCTAAGGCTGCATTACTATTACTATTAGTCTTCTCATCGTTCCTATCACCCATCTCCTCCCACTAATGACTGCAGGTCTGTAACTTTATTGCTTGTATCCTTACAGTTTATATTGATATTGATTGTTTCCTGATTGCTTATTTGTACCCCATGACTATCATTAAGTGTTGTACCTTATGATACTTGATGAATATATCTTGGATTTTTATGTACACTGAGAGCATATGCACCAAAGACAAATTCCTTGTGTATCCAATCACACTTGGCCAGTGAAGAATTCTGTTCTGTTCTGTTCTGTTCTATTCTATTCTATTCTATTATTATCAGATTTCACCATCAGGCAACTATTAGAAGAAAAAAAATCACTGGCATATGAATGCCCATTGTATTCATTGATTTCCAAGTAACCTTCAACAGTGTGAACTAATCAGCTTTATGGATAACATTGAAAATCAAACATATACTCCCGCAAAGGGATATGCTTACTGTAAGAAATTTACAGCAAATGCACTGGCTGTATGCACATCCAAAATAGATCTTTCAGAATTTCCAATTTGAAGTCGTACTAAAAAGAAGTTTCATATAGAATAGATAGTCCTCCACTTATGACCATAATGGCACCTGCCTATCGCAGTCATAAAAATGGGTCAGTCACCTTTTTTGTAGCAGTCATTAAGTGAATACGGTGGTTGTAAAATGACTGACGTGATTGTTAAATGAATGCTAAGTGAACCAATGCTTTAGTATGGGTGCGGTGTTGCCAAAAGTTGGAAGTAAATGCTGTATTTTGGGGGGGGGGGGGAACACTGTGAAACCCAGTCATGTGACTGCAGGGCTCTACAAACAACTATAAATGCAACCAGATTGCCAAGCATTTGAAATTTGATCACGAATTGCAGCATTTAAAGGGGATGTAGGATTCCTGAGTATGACATCCTCCACTCTCTGAACTTGATAATTCCACAAAGCTGTGTCCATTCTTTCGGGCTTCTCTTTATCCAAATGGGAGGTATTCAGTGCATCTCTGTTCATGACTGTCAAAAATAAAGACTGTAACTGTTTCTGTAAAATCTATTTGGCAGCTGTTTCCATAATTTGTTGAAATATCACTTTTTCATACATTATTAAATTATTTATGAGAAGTTGTTCCATTCTACAAAATCCAACTTTAACTGTAACTATCCTCTTGTCTGGAACTTAACACGTAGTAAGGATGCACTAACAAAGGTGCCCTTTATGCTATCACATTGAATCAACTATATTATATGCACAGAACTTGGCATGCGATTCAGTACCGCATAGTTAAGATGTGTAACATTTTAGAAGATATTTTAAGCAGACTGAAATATGTATTTGGCATTATTCAGAATAGCAGGGTGCATGGTACTATTTCAGCTAGGTCATGTGAAGTACCCCAAAATAAATTTTAACTTAAATGTTTGAGAATTAGTTTTATGTCGATATTTGTCATTTTAGGGAAAGCTTCCACTGCTGCTGAGTCGCATGAATGAGGTGGGAAAGGTGTTTCTTGCCACAAACAGTGATTATAAATATACTGATGTAAGTAAAATTTTATGAAGTCTTTCAGTAAGTTGTATATTTTTCATTTGGCAATAAAGGAGACTTTAAATGCAAAAAAAATCAAATCCAAATTATGAATTTGCAATCTTGGACTCTTCTCCAGGTTTGATTACCAGTCTAAAACTTAATTGAGATGCATATAAATGCTTTATAAAAGTTTCTCTAATATATTTAGTATGAAATGCAAGGATTCTTTTCAGTTAAATTCACTAATATCTTAACATGTCATGGCAAGACTATAATAGTCAATTTTCTTCTGGGAATTGTATTTCAGCTTTGCCCAAAAAATTTTTT